TGTATGTGTGTATATATGTATATATATATATATATATATATACATATATATATACAATATATATATATATATATAATGTGTATTGAAATAAAATTATAATACATAGACCTACTGTAGGCTTACATTTTAAAAAAATGAAAAGAAGTGATAGTTGTATGGTAGGCAGTGGTAGGGGTGGCAGTGAGCATTTTCAACTCAGACGGACAGACCTAGTCCCGTAATCCTAGTCTGTCATCCGACGCACGACCAAAAGTTAAAAAAAAATGATATTAATAATAATTTGTCTATCCAACATGTTATTCTATCCATTCGAGGTGTACAGTACTAAGTTGATAAATATTCATGAATTTAGTGAGGCGTAACACCAACATACATATGCATGTGACTCGATCGTACGCTGGCAAGTACGTACGACGCTGGGTAAACACAAGTTCGGCAAACCTGACGTTTTGTACGCTTTTTATTATAATTTTTTTAATTGCTGCGTGTACTCCCACTAATTATATTAATTTTGTCATGGTAAGACGTGCAGTCTACTCTGTTTATCAATAGGTGTTTCCTATTAGGGTCAGGAAAAATAGTTGCCTCTCTCTCGTATGTACAAAATTTTCAGCAAACAAACTAGCTATTACCACCAGGCCTAGTTGTAGTGTATAGGCCCTAGCCTTACACTAGGCCCGGACTAGGCCTCGGTTTGGTTGTTCAGGTCTCATGAAGTCCGAAGGGAATATAATGGTCAAAACGGCCGCTCTCAAAATGTATGGAACACCAGTAGCGCTATTATATGTTAGGAAGGCTAGGCTCTAGGCTAGAGAAGGTCTATACAGCTTCAGCAAGCCAATAATGTGATAGGTTTTGCTATGAATTTTACTACTACTACTAGTACTACTAGCCTAGGCCTAGATACCTTTGATATATATGCTACTGCTGCTGCAAGGCTACTCACAAGGTCCCGCTGTAGGCCTAGGACTAGTATATTCTTCCAAACTTTCACCTAGAAAATTTTTCTCCTTACAAGCCCCATATACTAAACACAGTCCCCCACCCCCTACAAACTCACCACCTAACGAACTCGCCCCAGACAAACTCTCCTTCAAACTCACCATAGTCACGCTATGTTAGACTAAGACTTTTCATGTTCAGGGTATGTTTACATCCATGTTTGATATCGGGAAGCGACCATTTTGAGACACATACCCACAGAATTCACAGAGCCTATGGCAAAGTGACCAATAAAATTCAGCATATTATGCTGAGTTCATACTGGACCTTTAGCAGGTGAACATGTATACTTTGATCATGTAGAACTTCCTGTCAACATGGTATATCTAGTGGGTGCACAGGGGTTGGGGTACAGTACATTTCCCACTGGAGATATTTGAAACAAATGTATTACTGTATGCTCAAGTACTTAAACATAACCTCATCACTTTTTTGTGAGCTAATCATGAAGCTTCCCCCACTTGACCTTTGCATCCCTCTTCAGCTCCCCTATTCCAAGAACCATAGATATACGACAGTTCCTCGTGTTGTCTTGTGTATTAAACGTATTTGTTCATCCGATCATACCTGCCAACTAACCCGATCCTGTCGGTTGTCACCCGATATTTAAACAAATTGAAATTTTTTACCCGATTTCACAGGCCACCCCCTCCCTAAAAATACTCCGATTTATGCATAATTTGATTGATTTGATTTTGATCGTTACTATTCAATGTATTTGCCATCTGCTCGCTTCGCGGTGCAATAAACAAGCAGTCATTTCCAATTTGAATGTTGCCACCAACGGCCAATGATTTGTCTTGACATGACTTTTTGGGCATCTTGCATTATCTTTTGGTTAATTCTGGAAACCTCCAGATTTTTTTGGTAAATTTCCAGATTTTCATGACTCAAGGGTTGATTTTGGTTAATTCTGGAAACCTCCAGATTTTTTTTTAAATTCTTAAAAAAATCTCCAGATTTTCATGAACCAAGGGTCTGGCAGGTCTGTCATCCTGTTGAATGAAATGAAATATTGGCCATCAATTCAGTCATCCACTTTTGTAGTACAAAAAGCTTTAATTGTTTAGTGTTCTGGTCAGGCATAATTTGTATTTGAAATTGTATTCCATCTGAATTTAAAAAAAAAATCTTGATCACCTTGTTGTATGAAATATTTAAACCTTTGTCTATTTGTATAAGGTTGTTAAAGCGTTAATTCAATTTCTCACTATTTTCTTATATTATTGTGTACTGTAATATAGACATTCCTGATTCGGAAATAAAAAAAATATTTGATTGGTTTAATATATAACCGGGTCACAATCAGTTGGGGTATTTTACTACCTACTCAAGAGGTGCACGATAAGGCAAAAAAAAAAAAAATTGTTTGTTTGCCCTTCTTTTTTTAAAAATGATAAATATTTTTTTTAAAATACTCATCAGCAGGGGCGGATCCAGAAGTTTTGGTTAGGGGGGGGGGGGGCTATATATGT